ATCCTTATGCCCAGTCAGAGCATTGAAAGTCTACCTACAAAGGTCTAAGACGAGGAGACGAAAATTCAAGAGCCTTACCATCCCTCTATCTACGGAGACGCCTACAGAGATCTCACATACGATGATATCGATATGGATGAGAGCCGTCATCCTTAGGGCCTACAAAGCAGCAGGACTTGAGCTTCCACGAGCCTCCAATCCTCATGAAGTCAGAGCGCTGGCATCGACACTCGCTCTACATGGAAACTGCCCCATCTCAACAATAATGGAGCGCTGCTTTTGGAAGTGAGAGACGGTGTTTGCCAACCACTACCTCAGAGACATTGCTACCGAGGATCTCTTTGGCATTCACCAGTTTGGGCCTCTTGTTGTAGCACAATTGACAGTTCCTCAAAGGCGCTGAGATGAATCTCACCCTTTTATCACGTGACTTGTAAAAGCCAACGCTCTGAAGAGCTAGAGCTTACAGTCCATGCGCACGTCTAGGACAGGTCAGCATGAGTGACAGACCCTATACTTGTAAGGACTTATTCGTATATGAAGAAGGGTCGCTTCTCCACTTGATGCGAGCATCAAGACATGGAGTTGTATAAATCCACACTTAATGTCAGGAGAAGCGGTTCCAGAGAAATCTGACAAGTTGTGGTTCCCCCAAACTCATCAGAGGAAGCTGGAAGAAAGGATCAGCATAGTACTATAAGAAGTTCCCTCAGGGGGGTATGCAGGACGTAAATCAGCAATGAATTCAGAGTGGCTTGACCCACCACCGTTTCCGTTGGATTCTACAAGCAATTAAGCATGAGTCGGATAAGGAAAAATATGTACTTTTTTTTTCTTAAAATTGATATTTTATACTTATCCTGACTCATGAAGTAAACCCTCCCAACCTCCACTCATGGCACTGTGGATTCCCTGTAATCCAGGTGTCGGGCATATAATTCGGAGAGAGTGAAGAGCATGTTGGGTCATGTGACGGTATTTCCCGCCAAAACATCTAAAGGGAGATAACACTGGGTGAGTGATTTTACGTCCGCTTTTTTAAGGGAGCTTCAAAAGGGGATTCAAGTGTTCCACTATCATTCGCAAGAAGGAGACAAGCAATTAAGCATGAGTCAGGATGAGTATAAAATATCAATTTTAATTTAAAAAAATTACATCATTGTTGAGAGTATATTACAGTGTTGACAGTATATAGAGTTTGAGAGTATATAGTGGTGTTGAGAGTACATGTATATTAGCATTGTTGAGAGTATATCGCTGCGTTGAGAGTATATAGCGATATTGAGGTTATATAGTGTTGTTCAGAGTATATAGCAGGGTTGAGAGTACATGTATGTACCATCATTGAGAGTATTTAGCATCTTTGAGAGTATATAACAGTGTTGAGAGGATAGGGAGCATTGAGAGTATATGACAATGTTGAGAGTATATAGACTGACTGACTGACTGAGTTTGTTTTTACGCCGCTTTTAGCAATATTCCAGCAATATCATGGCAGGTGACACCAGAAATGGGCTTCACACATTGTACCCATGTGGGGAATCAAACCCGGGTCTTCGGCGTGACGAACAAACGCTTTAACCACTAAGCTACCCCACCGCCCCGAGAGTATATAGATGTTGGGAGTAAAGATGTTGAGTGTGTGTAGGTGTTGAGAGGATATACCGTGCCGTTGAGCAGCAGATACTCTGGATAGCAGGTGCTATAGAAATCAATTATATTACTATTATCAGATAGATGTTGAGTGTATATAGCGTTGTTGAGAGTTCAAAGCAGTGTATATAGCGTTGTTAAGAGTATATAACGTGGTTGAGAGTATATAGCGATGTTGAGAGTATATAACGGTATTGAGAGTATATAGTGTTGTTGAGAGTATATAGCGGTGTTGAGAGTATATAACAGTGTTGAGAGTATATAACAGTATTGAGAGTATATAGCGTGTTTGAGAGTATATAGCGGTGTTGAGTGTATATAACAGTGTTGAGAGTATATAGCGGTGTTGAGTGTATATAACAGTGTTGAGAGTATATAGCGGTGTTGAGAGTATATAACAGTGTTGAGAGTATATAGCGTTGTTGAGAGTATATAGCTTTGTTGAGAGTATATAGCAGTGTTGAGAGTATATGGCGATGTTGAGAGTATATCACAGTATTGAGAGTATATAGCGTTGTTGAGAGTATATAGCAGTGTTGAGAGTATATAGCAGTGTTGAGAGTATATAGCGTTGTTGAGAGTATATAACAGTGTTGAGAGTATATAGCGTTGTTGAGAGTATATAACAGTGTTGAGAGTATATAACAGTGTTGAGAGTATATAGCAGTGTTGAGAGTATATAGCAGTGTTGAGAGTATATAGCAGTGTTGAGAGTATATAGCAGTGTTGAGAGTATATAGCGTTGTTGAGAGTATATAACAGTGTTGAGAGTATATAGCGTTGTTGAGAGTATATAACAGTGTTGAGAGTATATAACAGTGTTGAGAGTATATAGCAGTGCTGAGAGTATATAGCGTTGTTGAGAGTATATAACAGTGTTGAGAGTATATGGCGTTGAGTGTATATAACAGTGTTGAGAGTATGTAGCGTTGTTGAGAGTATATAACAGTGTTGAGAGTATATAACAGTGTTGAGAGTATATAGCGTTGTTGAGAGTATATAACAGTGTTGAGAGTATATGGCGTTGTTGAGAGCATATAGGTGTTGAGTGTATATAGTGGTGTTGAATGTGTTTAGTGATGCACTATTGCATGACAGCCCTGACTAATGCCTTGCATGAGGAAGTGAATACTAACTGACCAGGTGATGGTACTTACTGCATGTCGTGGATTAATGCAGGTTCATAGTGGCACCAAGGCAAATCATCTAAGATCATGACATTTGTTACAGTCTACAGTCCGTTTGAGTCAGAAATGGACCGATGAATTGCAAATTTTATCATTGTACAAAATTGCCACATAAATATAAATAGTACACGTTTATCATTTACTAATACCCAACAGCTTTCTTATATTTGAAAATTTTCCGGACTCCACCAAAAAAGTTGTTTAAGAAAGTATCATCATTGAAAATGCACAAGTTGTTATCTGTCGCGGCTGGGTGAAACCGCAGAAATGGAACAACCACTATCTTGTCGTGCACGGGATACACATGCCTGATGAAAAATGAAGTTGAATGCTGACGTGAAACAGTTGATGATTAAAGTGTACGATTTTTTTCCGTGTTGAAGCCAAAAGGGGCAAACCATTTTATGCCATTAATAAATTCCGTAAGCGGGCAGCAAAAGCTTTAGGAGTATCAGCAAGGGTACTGACAAATATTCTGGAACACAAACATTGTGAGGGTGATGCGAAGCAGGTAGGGGTCGTGTCAAAATCACACAAATTAAGACATTTGGACAACTTTCAAAAGAACCTTGTAAGGCAGTCTATCAACAAGCTCTATTCTGAAAACAAATACATGTCGCTGAAAATTTTATAAAAACATTTGAAGCAAGAACACAACCACAGAGTATCAAATTACACACTCCGGCGACTCTTACACTCTTTCGGGTATCGTTATAAGAAAATATGGGGGGAGAATAGGTCAGTACTCTGTGAACGCCCTGATATCGTTCGCTTGAGAAATAATTTTCTCAGGGTTATAAAGAAGAAGCGCGAGGAAGGGTTTGAGCCAGTGTACTTGGACGAGACCTGGGTCAATGCCTCGCACACTTCCAGCAGTCAGTGGGTACCCGATGGGGGTGATAAGGGGTCACGTAGAAAGCTGCCTCTAGGGAAAGGAGAGAGACTAATCATTCTCCATGCTGGCTGCTCCAGCACAGGCTTTCTCCCAGGCTGCGACTTGGTATTCAGGGCAAAGTCCACAGATAACAGAGACTACCATTCCGAGATGAATGGTGCGGTTTTCCTCGATTGGGTTAAAAACAAGTTGGTACCAGCTTTACCAGAGAAGTCTTTTATCGTAATGGACAATGCCCCATACCACAGCGTGCAGGACCCCGACAGTAAAGCCCCCACATCGAACAGTCAAAAAGGTGATATGATATCATGGCTCGACAAATTTCAGATCGCTCGGCCTTCAAAGGCAACGAAGCCTCAGTTATATGAGATCATAAAAACCCACAAAGGTGAACCTTTCTACAAAGTTGACAGTTACATAAAAAGTAAGGGTCACGATATTCTGCGACTTCCACCCTATCACTGTGACCTTAACCCAATTGAGATGATATGGGGTATTGTCAAAGGAGATGTTGCCAGATCAAACACAACTTTTAGATTACGTGATGTAGAGGTTTTGGTTAAGGAATCCCATTGAACAAGGTTACTGGTCTCGGGATGGCTTACAACAGGCAACTGTGGCACCACTTGTCATCCCTTTAAGTCGTGACTATGACACTACGACAGACGAGGAACCGACAGGTCTCCCGGAATAGATTTTGAGATGTCCCCCACCATGACTGGCTGTTCCGTTTCTGCGGTTTCACCCCGCCGCGACAGATAACAACTTGTGCGTTGTCAATGATGATACTTTCTTAAACAACTTTTTCGGTGGAGTCCGGAAAATTTTCAAATATAAGAAAGCTGTTGGGTATTAGTAAATGATAAACATGTGTACTATTTATATTTATGTGGCAATTTTGTACAATGATAAAATTTGCAATTCATCGGTCCGTTTCTGACTCAAACGGACTGTACATGTCAGTGCTTTTCAATGCAGCTGTATTGAGTTCATATATTATGTGAAACCATGATACCAAAGAATGTACAGAAAAGTCACTGGCCCCTGATCTTTCTAGCTTATAAGTGAGGGACTCCATATAAGGCAGAACTTATTTCAATAAATTTAAATGATTTGTGATCCAAATTATGCCAGTTACATTGTGCTGACAAATATCTATTAACATTAAGTGGTACAATATATGTTGAAACATCTCAGTAGATGAGCTTTGCTGTGTGTACTGGATGACATCAGATTGTTACAGTAGCCGTCTACATCTGTTGCAGCAGTGCGAGATGAGTCTCACCCCAGCCTCAAGTCCCGGCACAGCGTCCTCCCCTCCGTGGAAGCCAACTCCCTCAACCGCAGCCCGGCAGCATGGGTGGCGGACCAGAACCGCAGGATGTAAGTAGTGCCACCGCCATGGGTCCTGGCTGAGGTTGTCATCATCATAGATACCATGTCACTTTGTACCTGTTGCAAAATCCTGAAGACTTGTGTGTTTGGTTCAGTGTGTCCTGGAAATAATTGTACTTCGTGAATGCAAATTTGTACGGTTGTAATGTACATTATAGTTATTCCCGTAAATTCGGGTCTTCCGTTGATTATGTATTCCATAATCTGATGATGATGATGATGATGATGATGATTTATTACAGCTTGGAAGGTCAAGACAGAGTGGAAGTTACTGTGCCACAAATAGAAGATGACAAATCTAGAGTGTGAGTAGAAACCATAATGTATGCCAGCAGGGGTAGTGATGAAGAGACTGTTAAGTCATGTGTGAAAAGAGTGTGGTTTGGAGAATGAATTGTAGTGTTTAAAAAAATAGCATTTCTCAATAATAATCCGTTGAAATATGATAACAGTATATTATGAATGGAGATGTCGACATGTTGCAATGTATAAGTTTAATGTATGAATTTCTATACTGATGATGCGATATAAAACAACCAACGTTTCCAATCACAGCAAAAATAACTGCGTTTCATGTTACATGAGTTTATATAACTCTCCCTCCAGTCCTGATAGTGACATGGAGGTTGACCACAATGACATGAGACCAGGAGCTGTCAGTCCTGGACCTCCACCCCCAACCACTGCAGCGCTGACGGTGACCAGCGGGCCGACGGTAGGAGGGGACAGGCACAGTGTCACCCCAGCCAAACCTACGACGCCTCACCCACTCAAGGTCAATACCGCAGCTGTTTCTTAGTCTTCCAGAAGTTAACTGTTTTTATAGAGGGAAATTGTAGGTGAGGACAGTAATTTTATATAAATTTAACCTTTTCAAAAGATTGATTAATTTCAATCAGTGAAAGCTCAATTTGTTGTTGCCTCTCTTGTCATTTATATATATGTCTCGTTTCCTATTTCCACCTGGACTGTATTCCAGCATGATGGTGTGTATTCCAAGACACTTGGACATATGGGAGGAGGAGGGTATTTATCTATGAGAGTCGGCAATCTGCCTACAGTGTGTAGTTCATGTTTGACAGGGTGCTGAGTTGGTGGAGTCCGTGCCAGACATGGAGAAGGACCAGCTTCGTGCCACTTTCCACCGCCTGGACACCGATATGGATGGGTGAGACCATGTTGACACTCAAGCTGAAACTCTTAGTTGGCCAGGTGGATTTAGTACCAATTTTGTAATGCTATTAAATACAAATGCTGATTTGCACACATAATGCTGTCTGTTCACAAACTCTGGCATGACATGTCTCACAGAGGAAGTGATATTTTACCCTGAATGACCATAGACACTTTTAACACGTTTTTAAGCTGGTAATCAAATTGGACTTGAGATACCAAATTCAAATATTCTTGAAACCATAGCTAGTGCTGCCTGTGAAGGAGGAACTCTCCTGAGCATGTACAAGTACAACTTGTATAGCCTTGTTTGACTGGCCTTGCTACACTGACAGAAACAAGTCCATCTGTACTGTCACATACACTTGTGTCTTGTGTCTGCTTAACAGGAATCTCAACTACAACCAGCTGAAAACACAGATTCCAGACACACTGTCCCAGACACAGGAGCTGTTCACAAAGCAGGTGTATGACATCATCCGCTCCAACAGCGACGCCTTCAATGTTGAGGACTTTATGAACATGAAGCAATTGACTCAAGCCCTGGAGAACCTAGGGTGAGCAATAGTTGATATATACCCTAGACCTGATATAGTGAATATATACCCTAGACCTGATATAGTGGATATATACCCTAGACCTGGCATAGTGGATATATACCCTAGACCTGATATAGTGGATATATACCCTAGACCTGATATAGTGGATATATACCCTAGATTTGATACAGTGAATATATATCCTAGACCTGATATAGTGAATATATACCCTAGACCTGATATAGTGGATATATACCCTAGACCTCGCATAGTGGATATATACCCTTTACCTTATATAGTGAATATATACCCTAGACCTGATATAGTGAATATATACCCTAGACCTGATATAGTGGATATATACCCTAGATTTGATACAGTGAATATATATCCTAGACCTGATATAGTGAATATATACCCTAGACCTGATATAGTGGATATATACCCTAGACCTGGCATAGTGGATATATACCCTTTACCTGATATAGTGAATATATACCCTAGACCTGATATAGTGGATATATACCCTAGACCTGGCATAGTGAATATATACCCTAGACCTGATATAGTGAATATATACCCTTTACCTGACATAGTTGATATATATATACCCTAGATTTGATACAGTGAATATATATCCTAGACCTGATATAGTGAATATATACCCAAGACCTGATATAGTGAATATATACCCTAGACCTGGCATAGTGGATATATGCCCTAGACCTGATATAGTGGATATATACCCTAGACCTGGCATAGTGGATATATACCCTAGACCTGATATGGTGGATATATACCCTAGACCTGATATAGTGGATATATACCCTAGATTTGATACAGTGAATATATATCCTAGACCTGATATAGTGAATATATACCCTAGACCTGATATAGTGGATATATACCCTAGACCTGGCATAGTGGATATATACCCTTTACCTGATATAGTGAATATATACCCTAGACCTGATATAGTGAATATATACCCTAGACCTGATATAGTGGATATATACCCTAGATTTGATACAGTGAATATATATCCTAGACCTGATATAGTGAATATATACCCTAGACCTGATATAGTGGATATATACCCTAGACCTGGCATAGTGGATATATACCCTTTACCTGATATAGTGAATATATACCCTAGACCTGATATAGTGGATATATACCCTAGATTTGATACAGTGAATATATATCCTAGACCTGATATAGTGAATATATACCCTAGACCTGATATAGTGGATATATACCCTAGACCTGGCATAGTGGATATATACCCTTTACCTGATATAGTGAATATATACCCTAGACCTGATATAGTGGATATATACCCTAGACCTGGCATAGTGGATATATACCCTAGACCTGATATAGTGAATATATACCCTTTACCTGACATAGTTGATATATATATACCCTAGATTTGATACAGTGAATATATATCCTAGACCTGATATAGTGAATATATACCCTAGACCTGATATAGTGAATATATACCCTAGACCTGGCATAGTGGATATATACCCTTTACCTGATATAGTGAATATATACCCTAGACCTGATATAGTGAATATATACCCTAGACCTGGCATAGTGGATATATACCCTAGACCTGATATAGTGAATATATACCCTTTACCTGACATAGTTGATATATATATACCCTAGATTTGATACAGTGAATATATATCCTAGACCTGATATAGTGAATATATACCCTAGACCTGATATAGTGAATATATACCCTAGACCTGGCATAGTGGATATATGCCCTAGACCTGATATAGTGGATATATACCCTAGACCTGATATAGTGGATATATACCCTAGACCTGATATAGTGAATATATACCCTAGACCTGGCATAGTGGATATATACCCTAGACCTGATATAGTGGATATATACCCTAGATTTGATATAGTGAATGTATGCCTTAGACCTGATATAGTGAATATATACCCTAGACCTGATATAGTGGATATATACCCTAGATTTGATACAGTGAATATATACCCTAGACCTGATATACTGAATATATACCCTAGACCTGATATAGTGAATATGTACCCTTGACCTGATATAGTGAATATATACTCTAGACCTGATATAGTGAATATATACCCAAGACCTGATATAGTGAATATATACCCAAGACCTGATATAGTGAATATGTACCCTTGACCTAGCTGATATAGTGAACAAATACCCTAGACCTGATATACTGAATATGTACCCTTGACCTGATATAATGAATGTATACCCTAGACCTGATATGCTGAATATGTACCCTTTACCTGATATAGTGAATATGTACCCTTGACCTGATATAGTGAATATATACCCTAGACCTGATATAGTGAATATATACCCAAGACCTGATATAGTGAATATGTACCCTTGATCTAGCTGATATAGTGAACATATACCCTAGACCTGATATACTGAATATGTACCCTTGACCTGATATAATGAATGTATACCCTAGACCTGATATGCTGAATATGTACCCTTTACCTGATATAGTGAATATGTACCCTTGACCTGATATAATTAATGTATACCCTAGACCTAATGAGGTTGATAGTTTACAAGTGGGTGTTAAAGAGGCTAACTATCTAAGAACTGTGTCACATAGCTGTCAACCCCTGAGATTTGCAATGAGTGAGAAACCCCTGTCCATGTGGCGCAGCCCCGGGCGGGTTTTTTTTAGGTTATTCAAAGATGATTTTTATGTCATTTGGTGCTAGTTGATAAGCTAAAAAAAATTAAAAACATAAAAAATAACAAAATATTTCATAATTTTCTTATAATCCGGACAATTCCGTTCTACAACAATGTTCTCTTGGTATAATGGCATGTTATGTTGTTAAAACAATATTTAAAAAAAATAATCAATAATGTGTGAGTTTGGAGAGTGCGTGACATTTAGGTAAAATGGGTGAGTCTCACGCACGATGCGTGAGAGTTGACAGGTATGATGTCATGATGCCTAGATAGTGTCATGTCTGTAGATATCCAGGCTAGCTATCACTGGTGAGTCTTCAGAGATGTTTCTCCTTGCTACTGTTGTTGTTCAGGGTAGTTTCTTGTTCTGCAGGGGAGATGCCAAGATGGCCTTTCAGGACCTGGATACAAACAGCTTGGCAACTGCAATACGGAAATTTGTGGTGAGTTTCACATGCTGCAGATATTAATGTGTGCATTATGCCCTGGAGTTAAAAACACCTGGTCAAGTAAATTAACATGTGAGGCTTCCTCGTGAACAGGGGCGGTGGGGTAGCCTAGTAGTTAAAGTGTTCGCTCATCACGCCGAAGACCCGGGTTCGAATCCCCACATGGGCACAATGTGTGAAGCCCATTTCTGGTGTCCCCCGCTGTGATATTGCTGGAATATTGCTAAAAGCGGCGTAAAACCATACTCACTCACTCACTCACTCCTCGTGGACATGTTTGTCCTTGTTGTGTTTACAACACCTGAACTCAAGTCTCTCACATGCAACTACCTTTACAACACGTGACAATTCATTACATGGGAAACTAGAGATGTCAGCCACCTTGGATTAATGTGAAATCTGAAAAAGTGAACTCTCGCTATGAGCAATCACAATGTGTTAATATTTTTCCTTATCCTGACTCATGCTTAATTGCTTGTCTTCTTCCTCTTGCGAACATAGTGAAACACTTGTATCTCCTTATTGAAGCTCCCTTCAATAAAGCGTACTTAAAATCACTAACCACTACTCACCAAGAGTTATCCCTTCTTCCTGTTTTGGCGGAAACATGCTTCACTCTTTCCTTCTTCGCCCAGTGAGCAGGTTGTGAGAGCGCCTGTGTCTCCTTACGGCACTATATCCTTTCATTACTTAGTCAGTTACCTCTATTAGTCTATTATAGAGGTTTAGCTGGTATCCTTCATCAATGTGATTTGATATTTAATTGTATTTAGCACTGTTTATTCACGGTGTAGTCCGTGTTTGTTCAGTAGTTTACGTTCATGAAAATCTGTTCCAAATGTAAGTTACGTTTCTCTGCTGCTGACCCGCACCTAATATGCCCTAGCTGCACGGTACCATGTTCTTTCAGCGCACGCTGCAATTATTGCAAGCGTTTATCTACTTGTGCATTTAATAAATACCTTCTTTGCGTCCTGAGACGTGCCGCAGATAGGTCGAGAAGGGTTGATCCAGTCATGGATAATTCAGCTGAGTCCCTCACCAGTCATCTGCTGTCTGACGACCCCCTACCGTCTGGTGTTCCGCTGGAGTTTGCCTCAGAGGAGAGGCGTGGGACAAAGTCCGCCATCTCCAAGAAGAGACCTGCTTCTCCAGACATCCCGTCGTCGCAGTCTAAGAACTCGGAGGTCGTCATCAACCCAGCGCAGACTCCGCACCCCCAGGGCAGCGTCCACCACCAAGGGGAAGTCAGCGCAGACAACCAGAACTTTCTCAGCCGAGATTGTTCCCTTGACAGAACAGGGTCTGTATGATGATCAGCCGATCATCATCCCTCAGGTTCCTCGCAAGAAACGACCGGTCTCAGCTACGGTGACTTCAGCGCAGATCTCTTCTCAACCCGAGGTATCAACGCTGACAACAGATGACCATCCAGTGGGTCCCGTCGCCATCACCACAGAAAGGGCAGCGCCAGTACCACCGCAGGCCTTCAACCTGGGCGACTTCATGCAGCAGTTCTCCCAGCAGATCATGGAGATGATGGAGCAGCGTTACGGCCAGGAAAAGAAGTCACAGCCAGCCCAGGTCCCGAGCCTTCGGGAAGGCTCCAACGCAGACATCATCTCTGAGGGGCCTGCCATCAACGTGACTTCTGCCAGCAGAACTACACTCCCGGACCAGCCTGCACGAAGGTCGACTCAACCATCCCCTGCTGAGGACTTGGACGATCAGCATCCGCGAAATCGAAGGCGTTCGCGAAGGAGGAATCGCTCATCCCCTGACTCTGGATCGGACAACCAGATGTTCAATCCCCAGATGCGGACTCAGATGTTCAGCGTTCGCGAAGGACTTCAGCTACAGTATCCAAGACATCTTCATCCCGCAGATCGTCGAGGGATTCACCAGGACCTTCGCGAACCCACAGTCGTTCATATCCGTGCAGCCCCCGCGCAGGTCACCCCACAGGCACAGTTCGCCGGGCCATTCTCCACGCCGATCTTCATGCCGATCTCCACGCAGGTCTCCACGAAGGTCACCACGACGTTCGCCCAACAAGTCTCCGGGCAGGTCTCCGCGCAGGTCTCCATGCAGATCTCCACCCAGGTCACCACAGTCACGTAGGACTCCACCTCCACGGAGGAGTATCAACGTCCCTTACTCAGCACTCCTGTCACTGAGGATGATGGCGGCATCGTCTTTTCGGACTCTGAAATACGTTACTGGATGGCTAATGGATTGGACTTGGCTTCACCATCTAAAGACGATAATCCGGCTCACACCTATCTTATGAGAGAGGATGATGTCGACACGCTCACTCTGCCCCCGATTGATCCCATCGCAGCGGTTCCACAGAACCTGGACGCAGCCTTCAAGTCAGCCACTAAAGCCCAGGCGCCGCACCTACCACAGTTCAACGCCAGGAAGTTCTCCTCCCATAACATGGATCCTTTCCTAAAAGCTCAGGACATAGACGAGAACTTCAAGGTCATCAGCGATGCCAAGGCCAAGTCGTACAAGATTGAGGACAGGAAGCTGGCTCAAGTGGAAACTATGACCAGACGGATGTTCTTCGGCCTCAACAGATCTCGGGCAATCAACGAAACGCTCATCGCCAAGTTTCGAGACTCCACTGCGGAAGAAGATAGAATGATTTATTCAGCCCTCCTTATGCAGAAGAAGGACCAACAGTTCATGACAGACCACCTTTCATCCATCTCCGCAGCGCTGACACTGGCTAATCGACAAGGTCTCCTCGCCTCCTGCAGTTGAAGTGATCAGTTTACCAAGTCACTCTACACAGCCCCGTGGTCCATCTTCGCTGGAGAAATCGACATGGTTGCTATGGAAGTTACCAAAGACTCAAGAGAAGTCCTAATGATCAAGTCCATAGACACTCTGGCCAGCGTCATCAGGCAGACATCCCAGCGTTACTCGGGAAGATCCAAGTTTCCTAGAATACAGAGGGCACAGGACAAGAAAGTGGGTAGCTCCAGAGGCGGGAAAGACTCTTTTCGCCGCCCTACCGGCAACTACAGAGCAAGATCCGGACGAGGCAGGGCACCCAGAGGCTCCAGGGATTATCGACGATGAAAGACGGGTTCGGAACGACTGGAGTCTTCCACCCCCAGCCGTTCCTGTACAACCTTCCCAAGTGGGTGTATGTCTACAACTACACTGGGGACACTGGGGAATACTACAAGATCCATGCGTATCCAACATCCTAAGACAAGGATATCGCATTCAACTACGGGCTGCTCCACCGCTTACAGTCAACCCTCACAAGTTCGACTTCAAGACACATCAGATAGAGAAGTTACGAGAGGCCGTCTCATCTCTTCTAACCAAGCGGGCCATAGAAATCGTGGATCCAGTCAACATAACACCAGGTTTCTACTCCCCAGTTTTCCTGGTTCCAAAGAAAAATTCCAAAGAAAAGTTCTGACTCATCTACAATATGAGCACATTCAACAGGGATTATCTACGCAGACCTCCAAAGTTCCGCATGATACATCTACCTCAACTAATCCACCTCGTCTGTCCGATGGACTACATGGCCAGCATAGATCTACAGGATGCCTACCTGCATATCCCTATCCATCCCGACTGGAGAAAGTACCTCAGATTTACACTGGACGGGCTACATTGCCAATGGAAGGTCCTGCCATTTGGAATATCATCGGCCCCCTGGTTGTTTACAAGAGTGACGAAACGCATAGTCACATATCTACATCATCGAGGGCTACGCAGTGCATTCTACCTCGACGACGGGATTCAAGTAGATCAAGATCCAGAGCGTCTCAGACTACAGTTGAATTTCACCATCAATCTACTCACTCAGCTAGGATGGTTAGTGAATCTACTCAAGTCGGACCTAGAACCTACACAGGACCTGCAGTTTCTAGGCATCAGATTTCTCATAACGCAGAACCGTATCGTCGTGCCAGAGGACGGATGGCTCAAGATTCAACGGACAATCCCACAAGCCTTACTCTCTCCGTGGCCACTACGACATTGGCAGAGTCTGTTGGGTCTCCTCACGTCCGCACAAGACATGACAGCCAGAGGCAGACTACAGCTACGCCCGTTACAGTTCCTCATCAACGCTCATCTCGACGACCTAGAACCCTTCGGGTCTCCTGGATTACCTCAGACCTCATCTACTATGGTGGACCCGAGGTCGAATGTTTCGCGAAGGCATCTATTTAGCAGAGCCGGAGTTCAAGACTCATCTATATGCGTGGGATGGCGTCACTCCAAGGTTGGGGAGCACATCTCGACAACAATGTGGCAGCCGGGATATGGAACCAGGAAGAGAGAAGTCTGCATATCAACATGCTGGAGATGAAAGCAGTCATCAACGCCATACTCCATTGGAGCACCATTCTACAGAATGCGCATCTCATGGTACACCCAGACAACTCTACAGTGGCGTTTTACATAAACAAGCAAGGCTCAACAAGATCATTGAACCTACTGGATCTCTGCTTTCAACTGTTCGACCTCATCGACGATCTGAACATCCACGTAAGAGCATGTCACATTCCAGGAGCCCAAAATGTCTTAGCAGACGCACTCTCCCGTCCAACTTAACCATCGCCAACGGAATGGATGCTCCATCCAGAGATCTTCACACAGATCATCAAGGAAATAGGAGCTCAGTTGATAGACCTCTTCGCCACACGCTTCAACAATCAGCTAACAACATTCGTTTCTCCAGTCCCAGATCCACGAGGGTGGGCAACGGACGCTCTCAGCATATCCTGGGAAGGCCTAAACGCGTACGCGTTTCCACCGCCAGCGCTACTACCGAGGGTGTTACAGAAAATCAGCCAGACAAGGAACCTCCAACTGATTTTGGTCGCGCCCTACTGGCCAGCGAGAATGTGGTTCCCCATTCTCATACAAGAACTCGGACCACCAATACTGCAACTACCTTTCTACTAGTACATCCTCACACAAAGCAGGCGCACGGCAACCCAGGGGCATTCCAACTA